AATATATTCAGAACATTTGTTGACTTCATGTTTGTGTGAGCTTCCGACAAATATTAGTCGGGAAGCGTCGGAAGCTGTACACCTAGCCCTAAACAAAATCATTGGCTGAAACTCAGGAGAGACGAGATATGATAGGCTAATATTCACGATTGAGTAGCAACGGAGCAAATCTGTAGAACTATCTGTCGGAAAGATTACTATATTCATCATATCCAGTCACGCGGGCGGCCAGCTGGACTACGACGAACGTTACTTGATCGAGCAGCTGTCGTCGCAAGTGTGTGCACGAGTTTGTCGAGTTCTGGCGTATCTCTTGTTTACCAGGCGTTCTCTCTATAAGCTACAATTTGACTTCGGCAGGCACACTGGAAACGTATCTATTGACAAACCGCACAATTTATTTAGAGCAGATCTACAGTTCTTTGACATCCTCATATACAACCCACTTATCCTCTCGGTGGTCATTGCCGACAGCTTGTGCCGAAGATCTTGTCGCTTCTTGTGCACTTGAAGAGCTCAGCTGTCGCTGCTGGTTTAAATGATCCAACTCAGCCAGGTTGTCACGAAGGCTGGAAGGTGACGTGGGTCCGAGTCCGGAATGAGTTCTACTCGACAAAGTACCAAAGATGAGTCCACTGCTACCTCCATCCGAGCTACCCACAGCCATGCCGATACTGGAGCTACTACCGGTACTGCGCTTGGCTCGCCACGTGGTCGTTGTGGTCGTCGTGGTTCGTGTGCCCTTGGGAATATTAGCGCGAACCACCTTTTGTGTTACATGAGGTGAAGACGTCACCACTTCGTGCGACGCAGTAAGGGCTTGACCTGGTGGGATAACTTTCGTAGTTGTTGTGGTTGTCGTCGTCTTCGTACTCTTTCCAGAGGCGTTCGTTGCTGCAGTCGATGAAGCTACCGACATCGCTTGGCTTTGCTCTGAAGAGCTCAAGTTCACGATGGTATTAGCCGGTGCTGTGCTCGTTGACGTACTGAAGTTCGTGACGAAGTCGAGTGACTGAACAGGTCGCATTATCGACGAAAAGGAGGCGCTGGAGGTGCGATCAACCACCAGTTGTTGCAGATACACCACGATTTCAGAGGCACTGGGACGCTCTTCAGGGTCAGCGCGGAGACAACGCGCAGCCAGTTCCAAGATCGCTGGCGGACAGTCGTCCGAGAAGGCTGGACGCTTGGCACCACGAGCTACGAGACGAAGAATCTCGTTCTCCTGTGCTTTACCCTGCGGTGGGTGCTGCGCGTTCCAGTATGGGTAGTCGTCCGTGTCGATTTCAGAGAGGACGACGCCGAACGAGTAGATGTCAGCGCGCTCGTCATAGTCACGACCAAGAAGCACCTCGGGGGCGATCCAGAACGACGTGCCGATGCCCACTGTCATGTGTTCGCTGCCATCGTACAAGGTGCGCTTCCGTGCGATACCAAAGTCACTTAGTTTGGCTTCCATGTCGGCGTTAAGCAGTACGTTCTTAGCCTTCAGATCGCGGTGAATAACTGTGGGGTTCTGTCCGTGCAAGTACGTTAAAGCCTCAGCAATGTGCAGCGCGATAACAGTCTTGTGCGTCTCCCAGGTGAGACGATAGCCACGGCGTTTAAATCGTCGAGTAACATCGCGCAGGTCGCCTCGTTCCATCATCTCCGTCACTGCTGAGAGCTCGGCTGGTGTAGTCCAGCACGCACCGATGAACTCCACAATACGGGGGTGATTGAGTCCCGAAATGAGCGAAATTTCGCCGACGAATTGCTCCACTTGTTCACGCTCAACCCCACGCTCATTGCGGATCTTCTTCACGGCCACTTGTCGTCCCTTATAGCTGCCAACGAATACAAGACCGAAGCCACCGCGACTAATGCATCGTCCTAGAGTCACCTCGTCATAGTCCAGTCGGCATGAAGCAAGGACTTGGTTGTTTGTGAGACTGGCGCCCAGTGCTGTGTCCTCGCTATCGACGCTGTTACCGTGAGAACGACCGTAACCGGGGTAAGCTGCAGCACCGGCAGCACCAGTAGCAGCAGGGGGGACAACCACATCCGTGTTGTCATGGTTTAGTGCGTCACCAAAGGCTGCGTTGGCATTTACCTTCGGAGTATTCGCCTCAACAGCATCGGGCGATACAATTGGGCTACTTGCACGCTCTTCGTTTTGACGGCGACGCTGCCAAATTACTAGTAAAAGTAGGAAGAAGACAATGATGGCACCGGCAATGAGCCAATAGCCCAGCAATCCAAGACCATTGTCATCATCGCTGCTTGAACTCGACGATCGCGAAGAATCTGGTACTGCAGCTGTGGAAGCACCAAGCACACAGAATGTTGTTCCATGTGCAGATTGCCACGCACCGTCCTCGCAAGTAGATGAGGAGTCTGGTTTGTCCGCCGAGAAGGCTGTTAGTCCTTGGATCTGCTCGAATTGATCCTGACTCACGTTGAAGTTCTTGATGTTGTTGCCCTGGATGTACAGTGCCTCCAACCCACTCGTGTTGAGAGATCCAGTAGGGAACACAGCGAGCGCGTTGTGTGATAGATTGAGCTCTTTTAGATAAGCACCTCCAATATACTCGGTGTCGATGTTGTTCGAGGATAAGTCGAGGTACTGGAGCCAGCTCCATTCTCGTGTGAAGGCGTGGCTGAGCGTCGAGATGTTGCAATTCCGCAAGGTCAGAGTCGTCACCGATGCGGGGACGAAGTGTGAGTTCGTCTCCGCTACAGAGTTTAAATCCACGTTGTAGATCGAGAGCGTCGAGATGTTGGTAGAGTTGCTCTCCGACCGCACCAACGTCAAAGAGGATCCCGAATCCTCACGATCCTCGTTGATGAACGTGATTTCAGCTGGGGTTTCGCCAGCACCTTCAATTTCCAGCGTCTCTAAGCTCGACGAGACCCAGATCGACCTGATAGTGTTGACTGCCAACTCATCTGAAGATATCTGGGTCAGAGAACGCGTTGTCGTAGTCGTGGTCGAGTTCCACGACTCCGCAGTGACGTGAAAAGACCATGTGGAAGCCGTCTCGCTGTATCCCGTGATGCATGTGCAAGACGCATTGAGGGCCGTGAGTTCGTCTGGACATCCTCCATTTGGTGTCTCCGTACTAGAGCGAGTCACCAGCGCAGGGAGACCATCACACACCTGCGATATATCTGTCGTTGTGGTTGAGGTGATGGCGCCAACGACAAGCTGTGTTTCCTCGTCACGGAAGGTTTTAGTGAACCAACTCGTCAGAAACGAGGAGTTGGAACTGGTATCTGTCAAGGAGTCAGAACCGCTCAGCGAATTCATGGCAGAGTACGTCGAAGCTTCCGACGATGTTAGCGATGAAGCTTGGCTACTTGTAGCAGATTCCTCACTCGTAGCGGACCCCTTTGACCCGTTTGCAGTTGCATCCCCGTAAGTGGATCCAGTCAAGGAGTTGGTGGTTGTTGACGTGCTAGTGCTAGATGAAGCGGTGGCAGAATTGTAATTCGTCGATCCAGACGTAAGAATCGCGTTCGCAGAGTTGGCAGATCCGGTTGCTATCTTGCTGTTCGTCGTCGAACTGACAGAATTTGAAGTGCTAGCTCCAGTGGTGCTACTGGTACTTGTGATTGTTGAAGTTGCAGATCTTTCACTGGTGGCTTCTGCTGTACTCGACCCCGACGTGGTGACCTCAGTGGTCGATCTACTGGCAGATCCGTTCATATCCGAGTCTGTATCGGTAGTGGTTGTCACAGTCGTGATGCCCGTGACTGCATCTCTAGTCGTAGACGTCCGGGTGGTGTTCACTCCACTTTTTGTGCCTACCGTTGTCACTGGCGATGCTCCGTTATCACCCTCCGTTGTGGTCATCGTAGTCTCCGAGACGTGACCTGCGCTTCCTTCGGTCGCAGTGTTAGTCGACGTCGTGCTGCTACTGGCACTCGACTTCATGGTACTCACGGTGGTGGTCGTCACAGTGGTGATCTCTTCTCCGGAGGATGTGGTCTCCTTTCTGGTTGACACCGTCGTAAAGTTGGATGAGGGCCCCACAGTGGCCGAGTTGATCTCCGAGTTCATACTTGCGAAGGTTCCAGTTACAGAGGATGAAGATTGCAAGCCCCACAGCGACACTGTTGTGAAAGCCTGATCCGAGGAGAACTCGGGTGGTTGACTACGCCGTTAGACGTGAAATGTAGATTGGTGAACACCCCGGAATCCGGGCCGGATCGCTCACAGCTGCGTCTATCATGCTGGAGATAGGCCGAGAGGAAGGCCGCCGCTTTCTGGTGGAGCTTCATGTGAGATCTCTATGGGGACGGACAAATTTATTGGTGGAGGTGGCCCGAGACTGTAGTAATGGCAATTACAACAACATTCCTCTGTACTCTTGACGCCTTTTGAGGCCGCCCGAACGTGAGTACCATGCTCGACTTGTGCAAGGTATCAAAATGTCCAGCATGACGCACCGGCTTCCTGTCTTCGGTTTCAAGTATTGCAATGCCTCAATAGACAAGTGAACGGGCTCATTTTGATGAGGCAGCACAGACGTTTGAAGCGCTGCCTTCCTGTCCACGAGCGCAAATGATATAAAATTCCGTTCGGGTAACCGTGCGAGCTCGCCCTAAGTGGCCGGAATAGTCCGACCTTCTCCGTTTGTGTTGGGCATTCGGTGACCCAAGTAGCCATGCGTACGTTGTGTCCCCTCTGTTCAAATGGGAGCAGAGTTGAGTGGAGAGTCACGAACTTATCGGTACTTACGTGCCCCAATTGCAGTTATTACTTATGGGCAGAACTCAAGTCGTGCATAGCAGTATCCTGTCGTTTTAGCCCTCATCTTAATTCTTATTGCATAGAGATCGGAAAGGCCTAAGCTACACGCTAGACACGCTTGCTCATGCCAAGTAATCAATCTGAAGTTACATTCAACTCGGGTGCAACTATTATCCGAGTCCAAAATCACCAACTTAGTATTTCAATTGTGAGCTTTGAAATTTCACGTTACAAGTTAGTCTTAATGTTCTTATTTCAGACACGTCAGTATCCTAAAAAGCAACATAGTCACTAAATACAGGTAATTATCCATGCAACCCCTTCATATAATAGCAAACGCGCCAACTCAACAAAAACTACCAGACCATGCAGGCTCTTGGGCTGGAGGAGCGCAAGAAGGCGCTGGAGAAGAAGTTCGTGGAGAAGCGTCCACCACTGGCCTACGCCAAGCTCAGCGGCCGCGTGGAGGGCGATACACCGTTCGAGAAGCTCATCACGCACCTGCCGGCGGAGCTTGGGCGTGGTCCCATTTCGTCACTGCCCGACCACCGCATCGCTCTGGGGGAGCAGAAGGCCATTTCGAGGCTGCACGCACGCATCCAGTGGAGTCAGACCGACAGTTGCTTCGAGCTGCAATGTCTGGGAAAGAATGGAATGTTCGCGGACGGCAAGTTCGTGTCCAAGAACCAGACCATCAAGCTCACGTCCAAGATGCCACTCAAAATCGGCCATGCTAGAGTGTACTTCCTCTGTGCTATCCGCTCCACCATTAGCACTATGAGTGGATTTAAAATTATCCAAAAGGTACGCAGTTTTGATAGTTATATAGTTTTTTATGGTGCTGATAATGTTTTATCGTGTTTTAGGCATTTGAGAAGGCCAAGTACCACAAGGGTGTGACGTCTATGACGGCAGATCAAGTGTGTGACCAGATTCTGGAGAGCTTTCCCAAGAGCGAGCACGAACTCGGTGGGAAGGAACATCTGCGGACATTTATCACGTGAGTTTTTGCGATAAATTATTCTAGTTATTGGAAATATTCTGAAGTTTATTGGGATTTTGTTGGTACGGGCAGAGCGTACTTGCAAGAAGACACTGCCGCATTCGAACGCGTTCAAGGCGGGGCCTCTTCAAAGCCAGTTTATAAAATGAAGCCAGTGGCTGCTAGTGATTCAAAGAAGAATGTGTCGGTCAATTCAACATCCAAGCCCCAGGAGTCTGGCGAGGCTGCATTGAAGAAACAGAAGATTACTGCGTAAGCCTCTATGCTTTGATGTTTCAAGCTGAACACGTTAAACTTTGTTTTTTGTGTATTTTATGGCTACCGAGACGGCATAAATGTTGGAAAACTATTCACTCTATTTGGTTTGTATTGATAGTTCAATGGCCATATTTCCCGGATAGATAATACGACTAGCTTACGTGCTTGAGAGGAAGCCTTCCGTGACAATTTGATCTGGTTCAGGTTCCAGGTGGGTCGTGCTGTCGAACTGCCACTCGCGCATGAGCTCTTTGATCGTGAGGACAACTTCTGATGCGCTGGGTCGGTTTTCTGGCCTACCTTCGAGGCAGCTTGAGGCCAGCGCAAGGACTCCCGGTGGACAGTCATTGTAAAATGTCGGACGCAAGGAGCCAAGCGCCACCTTCTCCAGAATCTTCTGCTCCTGCGACCGCCGTTCATCCGGATTGTCGTGTGCTGGAGCTCCAGAGTTCCAGTATGGGTAGTCGTCCGTGTCGATCTCGGACAGCACGACACCGAACGAGAAAATGTCTGCACGCTCGTCGTAATCTCGGCCGAGCAACACCTCTGGAGCGATCCAAAATGATGTACCAACCCCTGGAGTCATGAATCGACCAGGACCATCTTTAACGTTAGCCACTTGACGAGCACGAGATACACCAAAGTCGCTGAGCTTAGCCTCGTATTCGCTGTTCAGTAGCACGTTCTTGGACTTGAGGTCACGGTGAATCACCTTCGGGTTGAGCGAGTGCATGTACGCAAGTCCTTCAGCGATATGTAGCGCAATGGTGAGTTTTCTGCCTTGCCACGTTAATTCATTATCGACAGTGCTTTCTCGGTGTTTCAAGATATGAAGAACATCTCGTAAATCCCCTCGTTCCATGTATTCCGTGACTGCACTTAAGTTACGGAGCGAGTCCCATGCAACGCCGATGAATTCCACAATGCGTTCATGCTTAAGCGACCCCATCAGCGTTATCTCTCGAATGAACATGCGAATTTGAGATAACTTCTCACACTTTTCACGCATGATCTTCTTGATGGCCACACGTCGATGCTTGTACATACCCGTGTACACGAGTCCAAAGCCTCCTTTGCTGATGCATCGACCCACATGGAGATCTTTGTATTTCAGTCGGAACGACATGATCACTGGGTCTTTGAGTAGCTCTCCGTATAGTGTCGGATGAAGCGAGTTATAGAATGCCTGCACTGCAGAACTGTCACCGGCTTGTGACGTCAGGACCTCCTCGACCACAGGTGGAGATAAGTCTGCCTTATGTTGGCGTTCTTGTTGATATTGAACGAATTTCATTGCCAGAAAGAACAACAGGAAGCCCACAAAACATCCTCCAAAAGCAGCCACGAGTACGAAGATTGTCCAGTTGGTGTTATCCTCACTGCTTCCAGCTAGCACCTCCGGGGTAGACGTGCTCGTGTTCTTCACGACACAAAAATTTGTGTTGTGTACCTTTTGCAATTCGCCGTTATCACAGTCACCTCCATTGCCCCCAAACCCAGCAGGGGTATCGATACGAAACAATTGAAGCTGTGAAATAGCTGCAAGATCATCACTGGTGATTGTCAAATTTGTGATGAGGTTGCCACTCAAATCACTGGTTAGATACAAAACAAAAAAGAAAAATGAGTCGTGAAATGGTATCCCTGAGACGAATGGACCGGTACGTACAGCTTTTTAAGATTCGGAAACTGCAGCAAATTGACTGGAAATTCGGTAAAGCTGTTGTTTGCCATATTGCTATCCAGTTCAATACCCAAACAGGTCAGACACAGCGAGAATTACAAAAAAGCTTGTGACCGTGGTACTTACATTTCGCTCATTGCATTCAAGGCCTCGGTGGACCTGGGCAAGTTGGAATAAATACTGGAAATATTGTTTTCCGCTAGATTTCTGCTTTTCCCAAATCACAAAACATTAGAAAAGAAAAAGTGAGTAGTGGCGTAGAGAACAGACGTACAATGACTCTAGGGCGGTGAAGCTCTCCAGAAATGGTTGACCAAGGCTGCTGAGGTTACAGCGACGCATCGATCTACGAATACAAGTTATTATGTCAGTTCGTTGAATGTGTAGCGAGTTGCACGTGCATCTGTCTGATCACCTACAGATTTGTCAACGTCGTGGGAACAAATCCGGAACCGATAGGAACTTCCCCAAGATCCAGATTGAACAAGTCACTGGTAGATGACACGAAGCAGCTATGGGTTAAATTTCAAACATCCGACTAAGATAAACCATTAACATACACTTCAGCAAGAGACGGCACGCTTTGAGAACCAACAATTGCTAGGTTGCCGTCATCCGTTGTAGCCTTTTCTAGGTTTATGGGGACAAGATTGCTGCTGTCTCCTTGTATCTTGCTGTGCAACCAAAACCAGCAGGTTAGTCGCTTTAGAATGGTACAAGAGAGATACAAGAGAGCCAGCCGTACAAGGTGAGTAGCTCCGAAGGAGCTTCGAGCATCATCAAAGAATCCACTTGAACGACACTGCCATCGCTAATTGTCGTCGGGAATGGGAATTCCGGCTGAGCGTCGGGTGCCCGAATGCGAAAATTCCATTCTGTTGTGGCCAGAAAAACAGGAACACGAGAGGTTATATCTGCTTTGGGCTGCCAAGCAAGCGCCATTAGCTGGCACAGTCGAGGACTTCAGTATCACCATAGGCTCGCCGTCACAAACGCTCTCTGTGAGCAGGGAATCCCGTATGATTGTCAAACGCTGTTCATTGTCGTCCAAAGTGGATGCATATCCCCTTGCAATGTACGCAGCAGTCACATCACCACTGGTGTTGCTGTAATTGGTCGTCGATGAAGAGGTGTTGTCAGTCCGCAGAGCACTTTGACTTGCTGTACCCTGTGCTGTGACCACCTCAGAATAAACGATTATAATTCCGACGAAGCTTGCTATGAAGCGAAGTACGCCGCGTTGGCGTGAAGTCATGTCTGTACCGAATGGAGCGGTTAAGAGTATGAGATGGAGAGTAAGACCACGGTCTGAAAGTGTGGAAGACTCTGCTCCACCACACCCAAGCGCTCTATAGGGAAGGCCCGACGACGAGGGTCTCGCGAGCGAGTCAAACCACTGGAATGGCAGATTTCTTCGCTTCGTCTCCACTGAAAAATGCCCCTGCTCCATTGTGTCGGCCTTGATCTCTTAAACCCCACACGTGAAGTGCTCACATAGGCACTCATATTCCTGAAATTATTTGGCGTGATTGTAATATACGCCAGCGTCACGAGCCAGTTGACGCCAAACGTGGCCGGCGTTAGTGCTCACACTTCGCCATTTCTCCACCAAATCGTAGAGACACCCTTTGGTATCCGGTCAAGTCCGCTGAACTTTTCCACTGCATCGACTCAACTCAACCTGCCACTACGAGAAAATAGCCAGCTAGGCTCTGAAATCTGCAGGTGGTCGCACTACTGTGGTGAGCCTTTCGCCTCTGGAGCAACACACGCGCGAAACTTCATCCAGAGATATCCCGATCGGAGGTAGATGGCGTCAGGAATATGATCCTGCCAAGCAGAGATTCAGCAGCTAAGAAAAACTGCATTTCCCCCAAACTTTTGAAACTCTGCACGGCACATTCCCATTGAATAGGCATGGTAATGAATCATTCCATCAAAGTCTTGATTTGCTCAAAGATAGGTATATCTACCTGAAGAATATCACTACAGAGTGCTTTCTCTCATACCCGCAGGCAGGAAGGCTGAGAACAAGAAGATCCCCACTTTATAGATTCAACAGAAGCAAACTAAGGATGCAAGCTAGCAATCACTTCTTGTCTCACTTTTCTTCGATTTTGGCAATTGCTTTTTCGTTGTTGTGTATAGTTCGTAGAACCTATAATTCGGGTGCTTCTGGAGATCTGCATCGGATACTAAGTTAGGGGCGAAACAATACGGGCAGAAGGTTTCGTCAAGAAACCTTCTTCCCGTATTGTTTCGCCCCATATCGTTGCCCTGGCTTGCTTTTCAGCCTCAGGGGCATCTTTGTTGAAAATAGAATTTAGATGTATTTCAAAGCCACTCTGTCATCGAACTTGTTCACGAAAGCCTTGTATACCTTGAAGTTTTCCGTACTCACGCGAGTCACTTCATCGACTTTATCAAAGCCCAACTCATTCCAAATATCGTACTCCCGGACTCTGTGTTGTGCCAGTGTATTCACATATTGGAGGAGATACTTGTAGTTGTCGTGGTTTCTAAACGCGTCTTCCTTCAGCCCGTTGAGCTTCAACTTTTTCCTGACGTAGTCTTCATTTTTGCTTGTCATAAACAACCTGAATAGTCTTGCTTGCATTATAAGCTCTTGCGTGGCCGATGATATACCTCTCTCCTCGTTGCCGAAGCACTAGCGAGAATTCTACCACCTCGCAAAATTGCTCTTTGGTTTGTAGACTGTATGTTACTCCTGGTACACCAAATTTTATCATACACGTGAATCCATATTATTTAAGCGAGTTTCCGGTTCTTTCAAACTTGATGAAAATCAGGCGAAATTCCACTCGTCGACATCAACGCTCGGACACTTCGGCACGATGGACGCGACTGCGCTGCGCGAATTAGAGGATGCTCTTATTAATAGCGATATCGAGCCCTTCAAACACTTGTACGAGCAGTTCCCCCAGCATCGGGTGCGTACGTTCAGTTTGAACGCAACGATTACTACCGGAATCTCCAATTTAATACTTTTAATCCAAACAGGACGATGAAGGACGAACATTGCTGCACTTGGCGATTCTGCATAACCTATTCGACGCAGTAGAGGGTGACATCGCCTCGACCATTGTGGATGCCCGTGTATGGCCGAAATACAGTGGAGTCAAGTGCATCTTAAGGAAAAATTGGTAATTGAAATCTTGTCAATGCTGTTTTAGGACAAGAACGGACGGACCCCGTTAATGGAGGCAGCAGAGAGAGGATACAGTCTCATTTGTGAAGAATTGCTGGCCAACGGGGCATCAACATCTACTGTGGTGAGGCCCCAAGTGGACCCTTATAAGCTTTTTTTAAACGATGTTGCTGACTGGAGTGAGTGATGGTAGGCCTTGGATGGGAGTACGGCGTTGACGATTGCACTTCAAAGTGGCCGTTTGCTTGTGTGTCAAGTTTTGGTGGCAGCTGACCCGGACCAAGCAGTGCACGTACGTGAGGGACGTGTGGAGAATGTTAAATGGGTTGCTAAAGTTGATTTTTATGCATGCAGCGACTGATGCTGGCAATCAACATGGACAAACGAGATGAAGTGGTGCTGCTTGTGAAGGCGGGTGCGTCACTCGATATTACGGTAAGAGATTGGAGAATGCATAGTTTACTGTATCATGTACTCTTAAATATTTGTTTTGACAGAGAATGGCTGGGGGAGAAGAGAGAAATCCACTGAGGGAAGCTATTACACATCCGTTGATTCTTCGAGAACTGCTTCGGTTTGGGGCACCTGTGAATGCAAAGGTTAGTTCAGTGTTCCATGTATTTGTTTTAAGGTATGTTCTGACGTTGTACCTTTATTTTTATTACTTAAGAACAAAGCAGGAGCCACGGCTCTCACCTTTGCTGCTGCAGCTGGGCATCTGAAAGCGTGTGAAATCTTGCTGGATATCGGAGCGTCACTCAACTCCAAGGTACGAGTTCAAGATGCGCTGAATTGAACTAAGTCAATAACTCGATATTTCTTGTGTGCACACAGGACAATGAAGGCCGAACTCCAATGTATCATGCCTGTTGTCATGAAAGAGAGAGTACAATCGCTCACTTCGTCCAGCAGCTTGGTGTCTCTGTTGACACAATGGTAACGGGCAATAGCGTGATGTATTATTGTTACATCCAACGTCATACTAACCGTGTTATGCTACACGCAGAACAATAAAGGTCGGACTCCCTTGTTTTATCATGCCGAGCGTGGTAACGTGCTGGGGTGCGAACTACTACTTCGGTACCATGCCAACGCTAATCACAAAGTGAGGAAGGCTTTAACCCTATTGCAGAGTAAAAGAACTTCTAACGCCTGTATTGTATTCTAACGATACAGGATATGTCTGCGTCGACTGCTCTTCACCTGGCTGCCAGCTATGGACACAAGGAAGTGTGTCGGCTTCTCTTGGGCTATGTAAACCCAACGGATATGGAGCGAGATGACCAGCAAATGGTGCTATGCCAACCCACATCTTCTATAGGAAGCTGGATCTCGGTGACGGAGACATGCTTAATGCGGATTTACGCGAAGCTTATGTATGAAAAAAAATATTCTGGCAAGTAGGCATGAGTACGTTTCTAACGTTGTTTTTCGTTGCTATGTCTAGGTCGTCTGGAGTGCAAGCAACTCTGCAAAAGTACGGGACGTTGAGGATACGAGATTGCAGCATGAATACTTTGCTCCACGTTGCAGCTTCCAGTGCCGGAGACAAACACTGCTACTACATTATCCGATGCCTTCACTTGGTCGGAAATGTTGCCATCAACACTCAGGTCAACCTTCACTTGTAGATCTCGCATTTGTACGCTGACTCACGTGGTTTTCCCTGATTTCGCTTGCCTTTTGTGAAGAACTGCTTCTGTGAGACTCCACTTGACGTTGCGGCAGATCGGCAGTGCTCAATGGCGTCGTCTGCACTGCAATCACTTGGAGCAGTGCAGATATCCAGCGACAGCGAGATATTCCCCAGTGTGATCCAACTAGCAGCCCCACGAATGGGTCCCATGTTTCGCACAGTGGTGGGTTCGTCCAAGGATTTTTCTTCGTGCTCGCGCGACCATATTGTCCAGTTATGCCGGGGCATTCAAGATGGTATCTACTCATTCACTGACGATACCATCGCTCAAGTGGACACCGAAAGAGGAGACACCGTTTTGCACTTTTTTCTTCAAAGTTTCGTCCAGCGCGCCTCGTTCCCGTCTGTAGAAGAGCAACGCGATACTCTCAGCTCGTCCACGTGGCTCGGGACGACGAAAGCACCTCGGTATTTACGTGTTGTGATAGCCAAACCAGTACGTCTCAGTTCCCAGCTTGCTCGTGGATTGAAAAAGTTAATATTTGCCTGTGTTTACGATAAATTAAACAGAATTGGGAGGGTAAAACGCCTTTGCATTTGGCCGCAGAAGTGGGAGCCTTGGGGTTTTGCGAAGTTTTGATTGAGATGGGAGCATCGGTGAAAGAAGAGTGTCAAGCACCAGACAACCGTCTACTTGACCAGCCAACAGAGAATCCTCAATTCTGGAAACCCATCAACTTCGCCGCGACAGTAAAAGCGTCGATTGACGAGGCTCAGGCATCGTATGAAGAGCGCAGTGCACTGGTGGAATATTTGTTAAAGGAGCCCGAGTCACTACCCGATGACGAGAACGCGGCTCATGACTGCAAGGAGAAGATCCAGATGCACTTCCCACTTCTCCTCCCTCTGTTTATCCGCGTCGAGGATGAAATGAAGCACAAGGAGGACTATGCGGAAGCTGAAGAGCTATACTACAAGGTGTGTATGCTCAGATTTTATTCTTCTGGACGCTCTTATTAACTACGCTCTTCAGTTCCTAGACGACTGTTACCCTCGTTTTCAAGACTCGACGGTATATGAGAACGACCCAAGCGGTATTGCTGTGCACAACGTCTTTCTAAACACAATCAGATTCGGTATCAAGACGCTCAAGAAGGTCATTGCACCACAGTTCGTGATCGAGTCAACGGGAGACACATTACTCCATCTTATTGCGGCCCACGGACACCCCGAGTTCGCCGCCATGATCAAGTTTTTAGTTGACGAGGCCCAACTTGACATCAGCAAAACGGTACATTATCTTTGCTCCTATACTGTTGTTCCTCTGTGTGCTGAGTAAACTGTACCGCAGAACAAGCAATTGAAGACTGCGCTGCATGTCGCGGTTGAGCACAACATGCCAGATATTTGCCTGTTTCTGATCTCACAAGGTGCCGACGTGACAGCTTCCTGCCAGAATCTCGAGACTCCGTCCAAAGAAGTATGGCTGACACCTTTGTACACTGCCTTGTGGTCCGCTACACCCAAGTACGAGATCATTGAGATCCTGCTCAGCACTCCGCAGTCCATAGCCAAACCACGCAACCCCAAGCTCAATCGCTCCGTACGATACGAACCTGGTCAAGGACCAGACACCAAGTGGAATGGCGTCGTCCTTGAAAAACTACTGGAAGTCCATGCATCAGCTTTACCACTCTTTTTGGACCACTACGCAGTCGAAGTGAATCGAATCAACGGCGAGAAAGTGTACCGATTCATCGAGGTAAGTTTGCGTTCTTCTTCTTGGACGTAGCGTTACCTAACTGGTTAGTTTCTGTAGGTTTTCGAGATCTGTGACCATTTAGAGCAGATTGTGAACCCTACAGGAACTTTAACGCCCAGTCTTTCATCGAAAAAGACAATCAAGAACTCTGCAGTGACCCATCCAGTCGTCCGGAACGCAATCCACTTGAAATGGGAGCTTTTCGGTGCTCACGCACACCGCAAACAGCTCTCTCTGTACGTGCTGATGGTCACGTTCTTCTACCTGTCCAACCTTTTGTTGCCAAAGATGGAAATTGTCATGGATGAAGACGGCAAGAAGCGGGAAGCGATGCACAAATGGATCGAGTTCGACTCAGTCGTCGACTATTTCGTGGGTATCACGAAGGTTTGCTGTTGGGCGTTGGCTGTCTACCATCTTCTGTACGTCGAGTTCTTCAAAGAGTGGCGTTCCAACCCAAAGCAGTACTGGAGATCAGTATGGAACGTCCTGGATGTGTTCACGTACTTGCTGATGCTCGCCACGATCCCGTTTGAAGTTTATTCCGGCCACGACACCCAACGCGAGTGTATGTTGAGTCTGCTAAGTATCTTACTATGTGTGAACCTGATGCAGGCGTTGCTGGTATCGTCGTACTTCAGTGTACTCATTTTCACGTTCGCACGGATGTTCAAGGTGGTCGCGCGGTTCCTGTTTCAGTATTTATTGCTGCTCTTGGGCTTCTCCGGTGGATTCTTTCTGCTTTATCATGGAGCAGGTCCTTATACGGACTTCTTCAGTGCCATGCGGATCGTGTTCCTCACTACATTTGGCGAGCTGAATTACGGGGACAACTACAGCTTCGACGATAGTCTTCGCGCACGGAATTATTTGGCGTTCCTGTTGTTAACAACGTACGTGATCGTGGTGATCGTGGTCGCTATGAACCTCTTGATTGCATTGATGACGTCCGAGTACGAGAAGGTTCGTGCTCAAGCGAAGGAGCTGTCATTACTGGAGCTTGCCGGTGCATTGCATCGTTACGAGCAGTGGATCGGATACAGCGTCGTTCGGAAGCTCTATTCGACCCCCAAAGGTCAGGAACTTATTGAAAGCTGCGTCTCGCACGTTCCAGGAGCGACGCAGCGCGTCTTCCGTCGCGACTTGACGTCGTCCGTGTCGTCATCATTCTCCGAGACGACAGCCAAAGCGTATGATGTCCAGGGCACTCAACGCAGCAAGATTGACGCTATGCACTTCTCACTTATTAGCAAAGGCAATGCCGTGGACAGTATGGAAATGGCTAGTATCACTGAGGCTATCACGACGCAAGTCATGAAACACGTACACGACGAAGTGGAGGCGCTGCGGATGCAGATGACGACGGAACTCCAGGACGTACGTGAGCTGCTGGAGACGGCGCATAAAGGAAATACTCAAGCTCAGAAAGACGTGGTCACTAAGCTCACTGACGTGCTGAAGTTGCTGGCAAAGGATGAGAAGGCATCACCATGATCCACACAGATTCGCAAGGTGAATGTGTCAACCACTTCAACTTGCGCATCGGTAACACAAGTGGTACACCAAAGAATCCAACCAATCAGCGTGCAGTGACGCGCACCGCTTCAACTCGAATCTGAGCCGATCCAATGGATACTATCCGTCACTTAAGATTTTGCGACGTGGAGAGCAAGTGTCTAAGATGCGACTGAGTCCGCGCGAAGAAGAGCATTTGATGCTGCATACGGCCGGCTTTCTGGCCCAGAAGCGACTGGCACGTGGTCTCCGTCTCAACTACACGGAGAGCGTGGCGCTGCTGGCCACCCAGGTGCTCGAGTTCATCCGTGACGGCAAGACGGTGGCCGAGCTCATGACGCTTGGAGCGCAGATGCTTGGTCGCCGTCAAGTGATGGAGGGCGTGGCTGCCATACTGGACGAGGTGCAAGTGGAGGGCACGTTCCCAGACGGTACGAAGCTCGTAACCATCCACAACCCCATCGCCAACCTGGACGGAGACTTATCACTGGCCATGTACGGGTCATTCCTGCCTGTGCCTAAGCTCGAGGTCTTTGGTGCTGCTGCTACCACCACGACTGCGGCACCAGGGGCTTTGATAACTCCAGACGAGGATGTTGTACTCAATGCTGGTCGTACGACGCGCGTACTACAGATCACCAACTTATCGGACCGACCCATTCAAGTTGGCAGTCATTACCACCTCATTGAGGCCAATCCGTACTTGGAAATGGACCGTAAGTTGGCATATGGTCATCGTCTGAACATTGCGTCGGGTACTGCGGTGAGATTCGAGCCTGGAGATCAGAAGACCGTGTCTATTGTGCCTATTGCGGGCAATAAGGTCATTACTGGAGGCAACAACCTTGCGACGGGGGTAGTGGACGAGTCCAAAGTGGACGCTATTGTCACCAAGGCGGTGGCTGAGGGTTTCCACCATGTAGAACTGGATCTCAACAAGCTGCCAAGCCATGTAACCAAACCGGGTTTTGGAGTGTGTAAAATGCCTAGAAGTGTCTACGCACAGACGTATGGTCCTACGACGGGAGACGTTGTGCGTCTGGGAGATATGGAGCTCTATATCGCGGTGGAGAAAGATATGACGGTGTACGGAGACGAGTGCAAGTTTGGAGGAGGTAAAGTGCTGCGAGAAGGCATGGGACAAGCGTCTGGCAAGAGTTCCGCTCATGTTGTGGATACAATCATCACTAATGCGTTGATTGTGGACTACACGGGCATCTATAAGGCCGATGTGGGGATCAAGGACGGTCTGATTGCCGGAATCGGCAAAGGTGGCAACCCGGATGTGATGGAAGGTGTCATGCCCGACCTGATTATCGGCGTGAACACGGAAGTGATCGCTGGAGAAGGTTTGATTCTAACTGCTGGTGGCTTTGACGCTCACGTGCACTTCATCTGTCCGCAGTTGTGTACTGAAGCGCTGGCAAGTGGCTTGACTACGTTGGTTGGAGGAGGAACTGGCCCAGCTACTGGAACGAATGCGACGACATGCACTCCTGGACCAAACCACATGAAATTGATGCTCCAAGCGACAGACTCGACGCCGATGAACATTGGCTTAACGAGTAAAGGCAACACTTCACTACCTGATGGCCTGCAGGATACGATTGATGCTGGTGCTGTCGGTATGAAGCTTCACGAAGACTGGGGAACGACTCCAGCAGCCATTGACAATTGTCTCCGAGTGGCGGAGGAGAACGACGTCCAAGTTACTATCCATACGGATACGTTGAACGAGTCTAGCTGTGTGGAGCACACTATCAAGGCCTTTAAGGGCAGAACGATCCACACTTACCATAGTGAAGGTGCTGGTGGGGGTCACGCTCCAGACATTGTGACAGTATGTGGAGAGCTGAATGTCCTGCCGTCGTCGACGAACCCGACGCGTCCGTATACTCGCAACACTATCGACGAGCACGTGGATATGTTGATGGTGTGTCATCATTTGGACAAGAACATCGCAGAAGACGTGGCTTTCGCGGAGTCGCGTATCCGTGGCGAGACTATCGCTGCTGAAGACTTGCTGCATGATATGGGAGCTATCAGTATCATCTCCTCGGACTCACAAGCAATGGGACGTATCGGTGAAGTCATCACCCGTACGTGGCAGACTGCTGACAAGATGAAGAAAGAGCTCGGTCTACTTGCCGAGGACGAAGCAACGGAGCACAAGCGCGACAACTTCCGAGTCCGACGATATGTGGCCAAGTACACGATCAACCCCGCTATCGCACATGGCATGGCTCACCTCATCGGCTCCGTAGAGGTGGGGAAGCTAGCTGATCTTTGTCTGTGGAAACCGTGTTTCTTCGGCAGCAAGCCAGAAATGGTGATCAAGGGCGGTGCAATCGCTTATGCTCAGATGGGCGACCCGAACGCCTCCATCCCGACACCGCAGCCAGTCAAGATGCGCCCAATGTTCGGTGCGTTGGGTTCTGCAATTGGAACGGGCTCGATCGCGTTTGTTAGCAAGAGTTGCGTGGACAAGAAGATTGCGCAGTCGTACGGACTGAAGAAACGTATCGAGGCAGTTCGCAAGTGCCGCGAAGTCACAAAGAAGGACATGAAGCTCAACGATGCGTTGCCCAAGATTAAAGTCGATCCAGAGACCTACAAGGTGCACGCGGATGAAAAGCTGCTGACTTGTGGACCAGCGACGTCGTTGCCGCTGGCTCAACGATTCTTCCTGTTCTAACCAACGCAGTATCGAAATATGTGAGATCAAAAGTGAGCTTGAATAATGTACGTGTCACTGATTCCATCTAGTTGTTTACTGCTTAGTATTGTCGCCATCTTTTGGCGAGTCGAAGGACTCTCCTGTGGAGCTCATAGACTGGAACGACGACAGCGGCATCGGGATGTCACCAGAAGACTCAACTGTCACTGCAGACGACGAGGCTGCAACGAGACGTGCATGGGCCGCAGCAGCTCTACGATGTCGAGACTCTTGCGACGTCGACGTCTCCGATCCAGAAGAATTCATCGAGAAGAGACTGGCAGCAGAGCCTGAACGGATACTCGAGAATGGTCCGTTTCGACCCAGGAAGGCACGCTTGGCTCGAACAGCTCCACGCGCTAGCGTGACTGCCTCGCCGACGTTATGCGCTTCAGGGTTCTCGTTGCGACCAACCACCTTGATATGTCCAGAGTGCTTCTTCTTGCCACCACGTGTACGCTGATCCTTGTGCACGAAGCTGAAGCCAAAGCGCAAGATCAACTTCACTGTCTGCATGGCAGTATTGCGGTCCATCTGCTTCTCGTCCTGAGTCAAGTAAATGTACGGGACCAGTCCGTTGTGCTCCTTCTTGGCGTCATTACGTCGCGGTCCGAACTTCCAGCCTTGTTCCATGCGCATCTGTGCCCACACTTCGTGTGTGTTTTCAGCCAGAAGCTCAATTACAGAGCGAAGATGTGGAGGCACTTTAACATCATCCGTCGGGATCGGCTTGGGTTCGTATGTGCCACCGGGTTCCGTCGCCGCGGTGCCGAACTCAAAGCCGTCGAACTGCTCTTCAAGACTGGCCGGAGGTTCCAGAACATAACCCAACGCTGTGATAACCTTAAGTGCCGACATGGACGTATCCCGATCGTACTGCTTGTCCTGTTCAGTGAGTGCTTCGTATGGTACAAGATCGGGGTGGAGCTTCTTGTCATTGTCACGTTCAGTTCCCCATCGCCAGCCTTGGTCGATACGTCCCACAGCCCAGACTTCATGGGCGTTTTGAGACAGCAACTCGGCCAGCAAATTAATCGAGTGTGGCAACCGAATGCGACGGGTATCTACCGGTTGTGGCGTGTACTTGTATCCTTCCAGTTCGCGTTTATCCAAAGGCGTAAGTGCCGATGGGAATCGCTCCAGAAAAGTGATAACCTCCTGGAAAATCCGATCCTCCAGGTTCGGGATGCGAAGACGGCGCTTGTGTACCTTCTTGGCGATAAACATGCGGAAGTTACGCACAAGTTCATCGAATCTGCAGGAGATACCGCGTCCAGGAGCAGCAAAACTCTCCTTGATGAGGCGATCCACATCCGCATCTGTAACCAGACGATGGTTATTCTTTTTCTTCCGCTTACAAGACAGCAGCCGCTTGATGTAGCCCCAGCCGACGTAACCCGTGAAGTATCGGAACCACGTTGATCGTGGTAAGATGCACATCTCGTTGCCATCTATCAGTGCATTGCCATTGTACAACACACGACACGCTCGAATGTGGCCTGCTCCTCCAATTTTCGGGTGGTTGTGACGCAGACCAAACGGACCTTCACTATTACGACTGCTTCCGTAAATGTCGGTGGCGTTGGTGCCTTCACTGATACGTACATGGAAGTTATCACTCGCTCTATAGTCATCATTCTGTCGACGTTTAAAGCGTGACGGGACGTACTCGTCTTGTTCTCCGAGAACTTCCAGCGTGATCTGATCCTTGGTAAGTGATCCATCGTCGATCTCAATGAACATACCTCGCTTTAACCGCTTCAGAATCTCAACAGTATTCGCCTGAGACGAAGAAATGGGGATATAAGTGACCGGGAACTCCACCAGATCCGCGAACGAGTCTGTGGAATCCGCTCGAGGACGTGGACGCTCTGCAATATACTCCGTCTCGACACTCAGCGTGAAATCCGGATCGTTTTGGCGCATCAAGTCGCCACACACCATGATGAGGTGCACACAGGCGCGGAATTTACGTCTCAAACGCTTGCGCTCTGCCATGAGATAGTCATAGTCAACAAGCAGCACTCTCTGGAAGCCACAGAGCACCAGTTGTTCCGTGCTGTACGTCGAGTTGGCGTCTTTGATCGGTGGCATCTTGACACGAACACGGAGACCATTCATGTAGTTCTTGATCTGTTTGGCCAGATCGTACTCGACATCCATGAACTGTAGCGAGTCTCGAAAATCCTCGTCTTCATCCTCATTGTCCTTGTTGCTAACTACCAAGTTGCGTTTGTTCTCTTCAAGCGTTTTCTTCTCAGTCTGAGCTAGCGAGTAGTACTCGCTCATAATAGCGATGAACATGTTGACACAGATGAGGTAGATCGAGATCATGAAACTGAAAAAGAAGATGCCAGCCATAGTCGGATTGGCAACGTAGATTTCCTCATAGTCGAAGGCGCCCAGCAGCATCTGGAAGCAGCTCGTTAACGATACAGATAGCGAATGATATTGCTGCACCGCTGTACCGAAGGTCAGGAAGCCCATGACTGCAAAACCGAAGAAAATAGTGAAGAAAATAATCACAAACGCCAGCAAATCTTTCGCTGCGAAGCGAAGCGTACGCCACAGCAAGTTCAGACGCGAATTCAGACGCAAATACTTGAACACAATAGCCACAGACACCAATCCAAGAGCTGCTGCGTAGTTCGTGACAGCGCGAGACAGCCACGCCAATGGCGCGATATCCACAAAACAATCTCGTGCTGTACTCTGGTCTTCCGCTGGAACAGAGCAGTCCATGTCGCCAACACGATAAAGATCATCACGGATATTTTCCGATTTGACAGCAAATATTACCCAGTGCGTAAGGAAAACAATAAGCAACACAAGCTGAAGCATATCTAGGATGTTCCAGAGAGACTGCACGTACTTTCGTAGCCCGTAATTACGTAAATCCGAGATCTCTCGATACACCAGCAAGAGCGTGGCAAAAAGCAGCACAATTTCGAGTGCATTTGCTTCCAAAAAGTCTCCAGTATCCTTGTAACTTGCCAGAATCCGAAAGCTTTTAATGCGGCCAGTTACCTCCATGTAGTCTGTATTGCTCATCTCAAACAGCCCTTGGACATGCGAGAAAATGTTGCTACGAGCATTGTAAAACGCAAACGTTGACGCCATGTACCGCGTGCCATCTCGAATAAAGTCGCTCTGCATCTGCGTGATCAACGCAGTAGCTGCAGTATAGTTATCGCGAGGAAGATATACCACATAACCACCGTGGCCATAGTCCATCTCGTGGCTTACTAAACCGGGTTTAAACGTCTCAGAACGCACTAGTTTACCCAGTCCGCTGGTCCATTGATACTGCGCACCCAAAACTCCACTATTGTTACCGTACGGCTCCTTCATTTCTTGGCTTGTCGAGTACTCAGGGTAGCAGATTTCATCAGAGAACATGATAAACTCGCTACTTCCTGTTGTCTGACTGCAAAGAGCTCCTTTCACGCGTCCTGTTCGCATCTGGATGCTGCCAATGGGACGGCTATTCCGAATAGGAGGGTCGTAGAACTGGGACAGCATGGGGCCACTGGCCCACTGCCACATTTCACCTTCATTGCCAATATCATAGAACGTCTTTGGGACAGTCTCATCGGGGAATTGTTCTTGGAAATATGTGTTGTCTAGTACCGCGTTCTGCTCGTACGGGAAGTGGATCGGTAGCGTTAACAGAGTCGCCATTACCACTGCCAAGAAACATAGATACACCACTAGCTCCTTGTAGAATTTATTGCGTTTCTCCTGCTCCAGACACAGCTGCACACGCTTCATATGCACGCGCATGGTCGAGTAGTGTGCGATCTGTTGTTTAAGTTGTCTGGCTGCCACTAGTTGGTCGTGGGTCTTGGGTCTCGCGCTCACACTGGCTCGACTAGCGCTGCGTTCTTCACTGGCCTCCAATGTATTGGATTTCTCTGCAAAAGCTCGTCGTCTCCACCAACAACACGCCCACCACCTGCACCCCTTTTTGGTATTATCATGATCAAGTCTCGAGAACTCAGCGACGTCCTGAGACTTGGAGTTGCGACTGGCCGCCGCATGCCGCGTGGATTCCTCCATGAGTGCGTAGGAAGTGTCCAGCGCGTCGGCTGGCGGCTCTTGCAGCGATGGAATGCTGCTACTGGTCACGGTGACAAGTGTGCGCAACGCAAAAACGACGGAGTGTCAATATTAAAAAGTCAACTCCGACGTCTTGCAAACTTTGTTGATCTGTGGCGACGGGATCCGCAAGGCAGCCCGTTTCAATTGCGTATCCCGTAGACCTACTGACCCGTTATTTCGCTCTGGACACTCCCTTCCCTTCGTGGTGCAGGTGGCAAGTCCTCAAATGAACACCTTGAGCATGCTGCCCGCGTCAAACGAGCCAGCGCCCCAGATGGTCGCGAGGTTTTTGGGACTGTAGCGGTAGCAGCTAGCGTCACAAAAGTTAACAGATGCGAATGAAAGTCGGGTAGATACTATGTACTATTGTCACAGTCCAGGGTGCAACTAGAGACTTTCGCTGGACGGAGGCCAAGTATTTTGCACCACGGCAAACACCTTCGATGTGGTAAAAGTTGATACGGCACTGGCAATGCTGGCAATTTAGCGCCAAGTTTCAATGCTTTTGCCACCGACTCGGTGACAGCTTGTGTCACAAGAGTCAAAGATTGCAGCATGATCATTAAGCGTCGATGTGGTGGTCTATACTCGACCATCATCCCAGAAAATCCATCGTGTAGATGGATATCGCGGCTGCAACTACCGATCGCCACCAAGTTCCACGTGTTATAGTTACTTTACTCGTACAGAAGAACCTCTAGTATCGTTGCTTTCTACGCTCTCGCTCTGCTGCGAAGAACCCGTTGCTATCAAGCAAGAAGAGCAGATCTCGTGCCTCGGATATCTGTAGGACACTATAGAGGAACTCGAATCGGCGATGGAATTCCTGATCCAGCATCGCGATACGGTCAACCGAGAGCTCAGCACCGTCCAACTGCAACACATACTCAGCGAACTGCCAGCAACAGCCCAGCAACTCCTCAAGTGCCGATGCCACAGTCTTCGTATACACATAGCAGCTCTTAACCACACTGGCAACGAACGTCTCGTGTACGCGCTTAGCACGATCGAAGTCACCTGCTGACTCAATCTGCTCTACGCACTTCTTGAACTTGTTTTCAATCACAAACACCTGGAAATGCAACTCCAATGTGCGTACCACAAAGCTCATCCGGATACGCAGTGCACCGGCAGCGGACGTGTCACCTTTTCCGGTGGTGTCTTTCGAACGCAGTGCACTACTCTTCCATGCCAACTCAAGAGCATGAGCTACACGCTTCAATCGAAAGCAAAACTGGAATAAATGTCCGTATGAACGGAGGAGCTCGGGTGTCACTAGCAATTGCAATGGCCAACGCACATTGCAACGTAAATTCAACGCGTGCCACAGTTCACGTGGAGTCACTGCGGTATTGTTCTTCTTCAGATTGATGCCGCTACCTTCTCGCCAACTGGTCTTGGCTGAGTATTTGTCCAAGCTCCAGTCTGTGAGTCGAACCAACGAGGAAAATCCAAGACCCATCCAGTATTCACCTCTGGCTGCGTGTAAGTTGAGAACTTGCTGAAGATCAATCTGCGTCTCTACCATGAGCACGTCATTGACGACCACGGCCAGCATTTTCTTGTACATGATCTGCTTTGACGCCGTCATGGTCACTTCCTGACGTGCGTACTGGATACGAACTCGAAGCGCTGGATTATTGCCGTCAGCCATGGGCACTTCCACAACTGGCGAAGACTGGATACCGTTTTCACCTCCACTCGAGGGTTTTACTTGAGCCATGACACGCATTCCGTTCATATTGCCAGGAAGATGCTCGATCGCCAAGTCCACGCTCACGTATACGGCATGGGGGTCGTCAAGCTCAAACGAACCATTCACTAATGTAGCAGGACCCAAAGTTCCTTCGTTTCGGAGCAAAAGAGAAGCACGATGGCTCCCACTCCAGAACGCATTTTGCTCCCATTGCAAATTAAACTCGGAAGAAAACGAGTGGCCATCCATTTGCGCATGTCGCCACCATACAGAGCCACTTTCTTCCACTCCAGGTTCTTCTCGCACACGAGTGTGTCCGTCGGTAGTCATGGTCAAATATTTGCCGTTGGGGCCTCGTGACACGTTGAAAAGAAGCAAATCATCGCTTGATGAGAAATTTTTGAGTGCAAATGTTTGCAGTGAAAGCTAATTCAGAAGACATTCGACAGTTAGTTACATCAGTGTAAGCTTCAACCCAAATGTGCGTATCCAACTAACCTGCATGTCGAAATCCCGTCCCCACGGATCGCTTTCCGGTATTAAATCACGCACAACATCTTGCCAGACGCCGTGGTTCACGTCTTCCTCCGATTTAGTGGTTGGTTTTACCACCATCATGTCGAAACTGCGCTCAATGAACGTCTGGAACACTTCTCCACGTGACAGCAGGAAGAAACCTTTCAACACGTGAAGATATCCCACAAAATTCGACTTCACTACCACTTCTTCATGCAGTCTGCTTGCTACATGGCGACGCACTTTTTCCACTTCGTGTTCTACTGCCACGACATCAAACACAGGCCGTCGCGCCAGCTCCGACATCGTCTTAACGATGTCCTGCACCTCACGAGGAGAAAACTGGTTCGCTCGTGTCAAGATATGCACTGCCTTACCAATCACAAACACGCTCTCAGCCACAGATGTCGGGAAATAGTCTAACGGTATGGCCTCCAAGTCCATCGCAAACTGCTGATGCCACATCACAGCAGTGGAGTCTTGCATCCTGTCTGTAGCACTCCGTACATCCACTTTCTTGACGAAAAACTCCTTGTGCGGGTCTACTATTTCACCATGCACCATCCAGGCCATCATCTGCTTGAATAACACTCTAACACAACAAAAACAACATCAGCATTCCTCTCGAAATTGCTACAATAACATTAACAGCACTCACCGATGGCATGAATATAGCAGTTCTTGCATACATTTGCGTACTCTGGGGAATCCAGAGCTGGTACGTTGATACACGATACTAAGTAACTTAGCTCCTTTCACACACACCGCTTGTTGCTCCTGTTGCATTTCCATTGTGAGTCTGTGCACCAGTCCGCAGACTTCCGGTAGGATCTCCATAAACTCGTCCAATTCGAACATGAGGTTGGACATGGGGAACACGGCGCTTGCTCGCAGTGTCTTTGCCTCAAGCTCAACGACTGCATCGGCGTAGCGGTGCAGTAGTCGCTCCACAGCCTGCGCTAGCGCGTGGAGATATACGCTCGGGAACTTGGACGCCTGTCGTGCGAAAATATCTAAGGTGGAGAAGGCGAAGCCCAGACGAAGCAGACGGTTCAGTACGCTGTGTTGGGCCTGCGATAGGAACGAGGCCTCTTTGCGCACGAAGAAGCCGTCAGATCGACGCTCGACGACGTCGCCGGTGTGCCCAAGCAGTGCCAAGAAGAGTTCGTGGTGCATGGCTTCAAGCTATACGAAATCAACTCCGAAAATAAGCATTAGAAAAAATCTGGACAATACCGGATTTTTCATCATTTTAACCAATCCGAGTGAGTCTTGTTTTCGGATGAAAAGATAGCTCCCCCTTGGATCCAAGAAGCAGAAACAACAAGAAAGTGTCGACACCATGTCTAGGTAAGCTACGCGCCGGCTTAAGTCTTCCTGTCCTGCGTGTACAGTCAATACCAGTACATACGCATATCTTCTAGTCGCTAACGTATACTCTTCGTACCTGTTTTGTTTTCTCTTATTCTTGCAACACTCAAGATACGACCGCGCTATTACCGTCTTCTCGCCCGATGGACACTTGTTCCAGGTGGAATACGCCATGGAGGCCGTCAAGAAGGCAAGTAATTAACTGGTATATAGTAAGTTCATCCGCACTGACCTGTAAATTTGCTTGCAGGGTGCCGTTGTCGTCGGCGTACGCGGCAAGGATGCGGTCGTGTTGGCCGTGGAGCGCAAGGAGACGGCCAAGCTGCAGGACCCGCGCACAGTGCGCAAGATCTGCAAGGTGGACGACCACATCTCCATCGCCTTCGCCGGTCTCACGGCCGACGCTCGCGTGTTGGTCAACAAGGCGCGTCTTGAGTGTCAGAGCTACCGCCTCACGGTGGAGGACGCGCCGTCCGTCGAGTACGTGGCGCGCTACATCGCACGCGTTCAGCAAAAGTATACGCAGCGCGGTGGTGTGCGACCGTTCGGTATCTCGATGCTCATCGCCGGCTGCGACGGCCAGGGTGTTCCCCAGCTGTACCAGACAGACCCGTCGGGCACCTTCTCCGCCTGGAAGGCCAACGCCACAGGCCGCAACTCGACCAACATCCGTGAATTCCTGGAGAAAAACTACGTGGAGAACGCCTCGGATGAGGAAGCTATTACTCTGGCCATCAAGGCGCTACTGGAGGTTGTTGAATCCGGCAGCAAGAACATTGAAATCGTCGTCGTGCGAACTGGCGGCAAGGTGTCGGTACGTTCGGCTGTACTTGATCCTGTTTGCTTACTGGTTAAACTGACTATTGTGATGTGATATATAGCCGCTCGCGGATGACAAGGTGAACGAGCTGTGCGATAAGATCGAAGCTGAGAAGGAGGCAGCTCGCCAGGCCAGCGGCGAGAGCAAGTCTTCTGCTTAGACAAGTTGATGGGGAGGAATGCAGCGCACTGATGAGAATGGAACGCATGTCCAGCAGTCCTGACAGCATTAATCAATCATTATGCGCTTCGTGCATTCGCTGTGTTCTCAGCAAGCTACACAAGACAGCACGGATATCATGTTGTGCTTGTTATTTTCTGTGCTGTTTACCGCTGCCTGCGTGCTTCGCTAATCAACTTCAACCGTTTACACTTTTTGCCGAAGCTTCAGCAGCTAACGACGGACAAACAACACCAGCACCTATCCAACCACAGTCAAAGAACTAAACAAAACGCAGTGGAATGAGCTAGTTCTGGCACTCGCTTCTAGCGCTGCCTTAGTTGGCCTGACGCTCGTAGATGGCCCAGCGACGGTTGTGCTCTTGGCCCTTACCGGGGCTCACGTTCATGTCCGTGCACCCAGCGTCCGCACAGCCACACGAGTGCGAGTTCGAGTCCTTGCATGCACGCATGCAGCCTTCATCGTTGCCATCCAGATCCGCTTCGCTCACGGGGAGCTTGTTGAACGCGAAGGCGTGGCCCTCACCGGCCACACGGGCGATGGCGAAGTAGCGCTTGCCCTTCTCCTTGGCGTGGTGCAGAGCGAGGTTAAAGTTGGCACCGCTGGGGCCGCCGGCGTACACGCGGTCGTTACCCAGCATGTCCTCGCCCGTCGTGCAGCCCAGGAAGCGCGTCTTCTCCTTGGAAATGTCCTTCTCGGCAGCCGAGGCTTCAGACATACGAGCCTTCTTGACAGCAGTCGTAGGCTCCACATTCGGCTGCTTCTTGACCTTGAAGATACGCACGATCCAGTGCTCCGACGTGAAGGCCTCTTCCAAGTGAGTCAGCTTGATGTTCTTGACGCCCACCTCTGTGTTACGAGCACGGTCGAAGCCTGGCGGACGCTGGTAGTCCGTCATGACCTCGCCGAAGCGGTAGTAGCACAGCTTGTAGGCGAGGCAGTTGTGCAGCACCTTGGAGCCACCGGGACCGACGTCGAAGTTGCCCGACGTCGAGTAGTAGTCACGTTCCGAAGGCATGTCGTCCGGGTACACACCCGAACCGATACGCACAGGCCAGAGGAACTTGTTGATATCGTCCGAGCTGTAACCCGTCACACCACCAAAGATAACCAGGACGTAATCCACATCCAGACTCTGCAGGATCGGGTAAGCGTCTTCCTCCGATGAGGCCAAGGCACGACCAACCGTAGCGATGTGCGTGTTGTTCCACGTGTTGTTGTCCACAATAACTGTGCGGTTAGCCATAGCCGACATCTGGTAGCCATAGTCCCACCACGACATGATCTTGGCGTTAGCGTCCGTGTTCTGACGTAGCCAGAAGTACGCCTCACGATAGTCATCGAAGTTCACACGCTCGCCAGTGTGCGTACGGCCAGCTTCAATCACAATACTCGGCGACGAATAGGCCATCGACGACACGTATGTAGCGTGCAACGTGTAGCTCAGCAGCATAAGCAGTAGACCACCCACAATACCCAGAGCCAGGAGCTTCGGCACAGGCTGGACACCGTCCTTCTGCACGACGAACGTCGACGGACGAGCTAGAATTCCCATGAACTTACGCAGCGTCGACGAGATACCCACAGCACCGAGGATGCAAGCAATAGGCGCCAGCGTGAGCATGAGACGCACCATAACACCGGCAAAATACCAGGCAACGGTACCGTACAGAATGACGAAAATGCCGCCGTCCGTCAAGTTCTGGAACAGGAAGTACAGACCCACGGGGGCGAACGGCACGAGGATGTGCAGGTCGAAGAAGTAGGACGTCCATGTCGTGGGCTGGTGCTCACTAACTGAAGCAATAATCGGGATGTACTTGGACGCGTACGTCGGGTCCAGCAACGTCAGACTACGGCCAGTCCACTGCACTTTGCCCATAAGCTGCAGCACCAGCAGAGCCAAAGCCACACCAGAGACCAACAGACCGGCACCGACCAGTACAAGACGACGGAACGAGGCGGCCGAGATGTAGTTGCGCAGCCAGTTGACGAAGCAGTAGACCTGCAGCAACACGAACACGCCGTGCGAGCCAGCACACTCGGCCTGCTTGATGACGTTGAAGCCCACGAATGGCACCTGCATAGCCATGAGGCTGCCCAGAGCGTAGAACGTCGAGTACGCAATGTACAGTCGCGGCGTGTAGCGTCCAGCGAAGATCATGACCAGCACGTAAATAGGGATCATGTTGATAATGAACACGTAGCCTCCCCAGGCCGCCACCATGTAGAAGTACGCGAGCGCACAGCCGGCCGACCAGAACATGGAGCCTGTGTGCACAGCCTTGATCCAGAGGTAGAACACGAAGATAAGCGCGAAGATAGCGACACCCTCGTTATCGTACGAGCCTCCTACGGAGCGAGAGATGTAAGAGGGCACAATGCCGGCAAAGGCAGCAGCCAGAAGACCTGCACTGGAGCGTTTTGTCACCTCCTTGGTCAGCAAATAGCTGGCAATTGCCGTGTTGGCAGCGAACAGCGGCGCAAGGAACACGCAAGTGTTGCGAACGTTGATGGAAATGTTCAGCAGGTTGAGCACCCAGTACACGAGCGCAGCCGTGTACATGAGACCAGGGTAGATGGTGCCACCAATGATACGACCCAGCGGATACCATGCACGGTCGTCAAACCAGTCCAGGAACTCGAGGAATCCCTCCGATGCCAAGTACTTGGTCGTACGGAAGTTGAAGTACGGGTCAAACTCGTGGATCACCTGAAATAATTACCAAAATAAAATAATTTAGTGGCGTGTATCAATTTTGAATGCAATTGTCATTGTTCACGCACGGATTCGTAGCGCACGACGGCGAAGAGGCGGATGGAGAAAGACATGAGACAGATCATGGACAGGATCGCGTACTTGGCCACTGGGGCCAGCGCGTTCTCGTCGTCCTCGGCGTCGCGCGGATCGTCCAGATCCACACCGAACACGACGCGGGTCGGGTCGCTGTTGACCTGCTTGGATGGCGTGGGCTCGACCACGGGCGATTCATTCCCCGACTCATCCGAGGAGGCTGAGGCCTTTTTGGCCTTGGACTTGGGCGCCATAGCTGCTCAAGGAAGCTTCACTCTGGCTGTGACTGTCCTCGCTTGTGTTGGAGCGCTCGACACGTTGCACGTGGCATCAAAGTGAAGATCTGTGCAGCATTTCAAGCATGACGTAATTACGCTTTTGACGAAAGGCTTTTTACGAAAGCGCGGTAAGAGCAGGTTGGGATATACGGCAGGGTTACAAAGTTAAAGGTCGAGGTTGAAGTACGGTTATGCAGCAAACGAGCTCGTTGCTGAAGTGCTGAAGCTGTTTTCAGAGACCTTGCTCCCAAGGAAATTGGCAGATGAAGACACGAGGTGAAGCAGACAAGTGATGTTTAACAACGCAGGCCATCGACTACGCGAAAATACGGTTTATATTTTGCATCGGCAATTGTTGGCGGCCACAGATGATTCGCACACTGGCAGATCCATACGTATCACAACAAAAAATCTCCGATGGTATATTCAGTGAACAGCATCAAGAGTTTTCTTGCAGCATCGCCTTGGCATCAAGCAAACTAGATTGGTTCTGGAGCTTGTAGTGTAGGGTTTTCCCAGGCAATCAAAAGCTGCTCACATAATTCTCATGTGGTGCACTTAATATTACGTCTGAAACACCTCCAGTTCAAGAACGCAGCATTCATTCGTCAAATATCGGGTTTCAACGCGATCATTGGTGTAAAATCGCACCTATAGATGGGTGGTTCCCGAAGCAATGGTTGGTGCACGCGGCTGGTTTGGTAATTTCGAGCAGCCGCCCACGTCTTGCCCTTCATTTGCTACTGTCCAAAGCTATCCAAGAAGAAGGTAGGGCTTCCTCTAAATGATCACAGGGCTCAGTGAGGCAAGGCAGGGCAGACCGGCGGGAGACGGGGACTAGGGACGCGCGGCAGTGCAAAAGGAAAACCCGCAAAACAGGACACAGGGCTCACCGCAACAGCGCAACAATAGAACGCCGATTATTGACAGGCTTCCTAAATACCCACTGCAGCCTTACGCCCGACATCCTGCCTGCCAGCGCCTCTTTAGCCCCATTTGAACGGCCGATGAATGGATGCGGAGACTGACGCTGTTGCATTTGTGTGTCGCTGGCAGTCTGCAACCATGGCTAACCTCACGTACTCCCACCCCCGCAACTACGGCAAGGACTCGCGTCACTGCCGTGTGTGCAAGACCACCCGTGGTCTGATCCGCAAGTACCACCTGAACATGTGCCGTCGCTGCTTCCGCGAGCGCGCCACGGACATTGGCTTCGTCAAGGTAAATGACAGCCGTTATAATACTTTACAGGGCGATGAACAGGAGTCTTATCATGTCGGCTTATGTCTTGCAGTACCGGTAAATATGTTATTGGTCGGCCAACCGCTCGCTGGACGACGGGGAGACGCGCGCGTGATTAGTCGCGCTCGCTAACGCTGACGCCTGCGACTACGCGTGCGATGGAAAGAGGTTGTTTAGATACGCCGAAGGACACGTCATTTTAGTTCATTCTGAGGAGCTGAAGATATGGTGGAAAATGCTGCCGTCGAGGCTGCTTCGCTGTCATTCTTCGGGTAATCGAATGAAGCTAAATTGCAAAAGACTCCTCCCCACGTCAGAGTCTGCTTGTCGTCGCTTTTATCGTCTACGTTTGATCATGAACAGCTTTAATTTTCGCTTTACAGGTAAACACGTCAACATCCTTGTTGTTTTTCAGCATCCAGGACCAACGCTGTAGCCATTTCACTTCTCCAGCATTGTCTCGATCTGGTTTGATGATCTTCTCCTTCCTAATGCGGTTCAATAGTAATGTAGTAAGCTCAATACTCCTCTGCGAGCCAGAATCTCCGCAAATGGTCCTCGAACATTGACGTTGCTTTACAGTGTGCTGGATGCTCGGTTAGAGTGTGCGTTAGGAACGGATGATGTTCATCAAAACCTTTGAAAAGGCATACTCAGAAAAATATTCCTTGGATCCAAGACTAGACCTATGCGCACTTCTGGCGGCGCGGGTGCCTCTGTGAGGCGGCTCCGCGACGCCACGCCAGGTCCCTTGCATCCGCTAATCACCTTTCTATTGACTCTATTGCTTCTATGCTCGCTAGTTGCGGCGGAACCAGCTTCGCAAGCTGCTCACCAGCGTCGCGAATGGAGTCCGCAGATTCCGCTCGAGAGTCAAGTGACAGTAGGCACCGACGGCATTGCAACGTCGCGTGGAGCAGGACGCAGACGCAGTGACGGACTGTCCATCACGCGCAGCATACCCGTGGATACCGGTATCGCTCCTGACGCGGCAGTGGACAGCCAGGCCATTAAGTTCACACCTGCTCGAGTAGACCTTGGACGAGTGGAGACGTGCTCTCCACAACGATATTACGTCGGGGTGGAGAACCGAGGGCGAGTGTCAGTAAGACTTGACGGCGCAGACTTTACACACGAAGGTTTTTCACTAGCGACCGACGTTCGAGGCATTCGATTGGATCCTGGTGACAAATTCAACGTGCAGTTTGTATTTCTGCCCGACGAGGAGGAACCGAATGGAGTGGATGCTCATTTGAGAGTATTAACGACGTCGGGACTATTTTCTTTGCCTATTATCAGCTCGGAGGTGGTAACCAATCGCTATGGCGTTAGCGCTATTCGAACATCGGTTCCTGTCGGAGTCCGCTTTGAACAATCATTACAATTTATCAACCCTTCGAACTCTACAATTCGAATTACAGAGGTATACGCACTGGACAGCTTTGTTCATATTGAATTGCTTAACGCTAGTAAATGGATTGGGCCCCGATGGCCACGAGAAGGTGATGACAAACAGAAGCAAGAGGTTCCAGGCGAATACGATCCTCAATTCGACTATACAAGACGAGCGGACCGTGGCGCTTGGGATATGCCCGCAGGAACGACGAGCCCGTTGATTAAAGTGTCATTGCAAAAGAACACACCTGTGGGTGAGTTCTTTACGTTTATTCACATTACCGCTGACAAGCGGCGCTTGCTGATGATTCCAGTGCGTATCACGGTGCTGAAGCCAGGAATCCATATTGAACCAGACGAACTGGATCTGGGAGTGCTGACCGACCTTAACGACGATGCGCATCGTCGAATTATGTTCACTTTGTACAATGCCGGCGTGAATCCTATTGAAATATTGGAGTTAAAAGTCTTAGAGAGTAACTTGATCGTCTCGGCGGAGCTATGGGGCGCATCTTCTGTAATTCCTCCGCGAACTGAGATATTTAATGCGCTTGCTATCCAGATTCGAGTAGACAAAGAAACCACAGGTAATTGTTTTGCGTCGTTGATGCTGACGACAAACGCGTCGAGTTCGGAGCTGGGACAACAGAGATTGAAATTGTATGGACGAGTGGCGCATGGAAACGTGGCTTTTCAACTCAACGAGACCCGATTTGGAGTCACCGTGCCTGTAGATAATGTATTACGTGGAGAGAATAATGGTGATGGTTTCAATAGCACCGTAAATGAAACTTGTGGTGATCGACTTACAGAAGATCACGAGGTATCGGCTACCAAGCTGGTATCAAGTATTGGCAGAAAATCCGTGAAGGGGATAATGGCTGGAACAACTGCATATCGAAAACTTCAGTTGTGGAACAGATTCGATTGCCCCGTGGAGCTACAGCGCGTATGGGTGGACTCTGCATTTCCAGATCAAAGCGAGGTGTCAGTGTACAGGTTTAAGCAGGGGGTAGTACCTGCTGGATCTGCTTGGCCGGAGATTTCTCTCCAGATCACGCCACAGCTGGAAAGTAACCCAGAGTTTTTTGTAGCGCGATTTCTCTCTTTAATGGTGGAGACGAATGTTTCTCGTCATCGTATCCAGATAAGTGTATACCACGGATTCCTGAACATGAACTCGACCAGGGGGCTTCAAAATTATTCCGTTTCAGGCTACTATAATGTAAATTCATCACAGTCGTGCTTGGAAGTACCGAAAGGAGGTCTTGTGACGGGGTTACCTCCTCGTATCGAGGGTGGAGAAGCAACAACGAACACGCACGCCGTTCAAATATGCCGGTCGCTGCTGTTCGACTTTGAAAAGGTGGCGTCTCACCGATCTCGTACCGAGGTGGTGACAATGACGAATGAAAATCCTGTGCCAGTAGCGTTGAAAATCTCGAATGTGTCTGCAAGTGGCATCGTTGGCATATCCATTAAAGCGGATATTACTCTGGTTCATCCTGGTTTCGTCAGTGGGAGTTCGCGCTATTGGAATAATGTTTTAGGATACAATTCAACTAGCAATGGCATAAAAAGTGTCGAGGCTGGCGATAGTTTTATTCTCCTGCCCGGTTATCAAGTGGAATTTAGCGTGAATATTACGGCGAAGGATAGACTGGGGGATCTTACCGTTCCAGTCATGACAGTGGAGACGCCCAGTGAGATATTCCATATCTACGTGAGACTTCGCAGTGTGCAAGGCACGGTCGAGCCAGTCACACCAGCGATCGTTTTGCCGTCGATGTTTCCAGGGCGTACTGAGATTATTCATCTACAATATCGCAACACCTTTGAGCACACAGTGACACCATTGATGGCTACAGTCAGCAGTTCAAACCTGAAGATCTTGTCGATAAGGGATGAAATAGCACCCAGACAAGTTGAAAGCGTGTTGGATCTGCTTTTCTCCCCAGCGGAGAGCTCGAAATGCTCTGATGCAGTGTTCCTCGCGGACTGCTTGATGTCTCTACCGGATACTGAGGACGAGCAAACATGCAAGCAGCTTTCGAACTATGGAGAGTTTGTGGATAAATATGACTTGGATGCACTGCGGCGTCGCGATGCGTTTTGGAGGAAAACGCAAGAATCCGATCTCCAGTCAGCAGTGGAAGTCCAGGTACATTTACAGACTGATATCATTGAAGATGTAGCGGAAGTCACGATCAAGGCGTTCCTTGAACGCCCTCTGGTTACTGCGGCGAGCAACGACGCATCGAACGTGATTAAGAGGACGGAGTTTGAGTTGACAGAGCTTCTTGACTGCAGCCATGTTTTCATCAATGTGCGCAATCCAAGCAACATCTCAATTCAGATGGAATTGGCGATCGCTGAAGAAGATTACGAATTGTTTTATCCCTGCACCGCAGAGTGGAATGGCGATTATGGATTGGATGGTAGCAAGAACGGAGACACAGGAGATGATCCAGAAGATATTTCGTCATTGTGCTTGGCTGAGTGGAAAGCAGTGACTATGGATGCTGTAGAGTTACTGCGGGATGAGCACGTGGACATTGATATGCCCCCATTTTACTTTCAGAGGAAGATCATACAAGTCCCAGCAGGAGAAGAAGCGCAGCTTGGACCCATCTACTATCTCCCTTCTAGAGTCCATGAAGTGGCTACGACAGTGTTTGTGCGGAATGATCTCACTCACATTGAACCAGTGCAACTACGTGCGCGCAGTGGGAAAGGAACTCTCGATTTATTGGTGGATCCACCTGCTGACTCCGCGAAGACTCGCTTCGAACCGAATGAGCGTATCGAAGAAAACATTGCACAGGATTATTCACAACTCAGACACGATGGCACTCTACACTTTGCCCTGACTAATGACGATACGTTGACTGATTACACTCAAGGCGCTGATATCCTCCTTTCAAACACAGGATCATTTGGCTTAGTCATCCATAGTATGAACGTGGAATCTCCATCGACGATGCAGCCCTGGACTTCGGATGCAGAGTCACTAACAAGTGACTTTGTGGTGACGTTGGAGGAATTCACGGGGGAGGATGGAGAAAATGGCCAAGTAACGCTTCAACCTGGAACGTCTGCACGCTTTCGTGTATCTTTCTGCGCTACTTGTTATGCTGCCAGTGTGACAAGCTGGCTGGTCATCGATACCAGTGACGGAATCAAGCGCATTCACCTTCAAGGCGCAATTACAACGGATGCTGCTTTCTCGTGCTTGCGCTCTCGAATGGCTCCTCTATTACGGCATGCATTCCACTTCGCGTGGATGATTGCAGCAGCGGTGACCGTAATTTCTGCACTTTATGCCACGGTGTTGTTGGCGTATGACGCATGGAGTCAAAATGCTGTACCCGAGCTTCAAGCGCTCACGCTCGCAGCTAAAATTGACAGTACCAGCACGAATACGACACTACTTGACACAACCGATAGCAGAACTGCGAATAGGGAGGATGAAAACAAGGCATCACCGCACAATTTAACGTCGATCAATCGTCTCCTGGAAGATATGGAGCAAGCAGCATTCGCTTTATCAACTCGCGTAGGGACACCTGCGGTTTTTCAACTGTTGGAACAGCGCCGCAAAGGATTATCTTCAAGTGTTCGTTGCAGTCCACCTTCTGGAAATGCCAAAGTTGATAAAGGTGAAACAACTACTGCAACTCTGAATACGAAGTCGAGTTCGTGTGAAAACGAAGCCACTTCGCCTTCAGTTGAAGTCGAGAGAGAGCCACCGTCTGATGTGGCATCTACAACAGCAGAAGCAACTGTGAACGATGCTGGCAGCGAAGACACGTGTGCGTCGCTATTACCAACAAATGCAGCACAAAATGCGTCCAGTGTTATCAAACTTCTTGAAGACAACGGTGACCGTAAACGCAGTGACTTGTCATCGGATGAGAGCAGCTCCGAGTCTCCTGCGCCATCCTCCCACTCGAGTATCGTTCAACCTGATGCCGAAGAGTCTGGTCATGGTGCTGACTTCCCACAATTATCGTTTGATTCCCTCGAAGATCAACAAAAAACTGGTGCGGGACCTGCATCTATTGATACAAATTTGCCAAAGAAAGCGGACGGGACATTTGAGCCTTTCAAGTCATTGTCAACTCGGTGGCGTTCCGAAGATTGGCAGGACAAGTTAAACAAACCGACGCCTTCGTTGTCTGGAGATTTCTCGGACTGGAATGGCACTTTGTCTCTCAACACATTGGGGAACAGTTTATTGGACACAACAGCCAGTGGCATCCAACGCAACGAGACCGTTTGTTCAGGTAACCGCAGTGAATCAAGCAGCTTTATCAGTGGCAAGGCTCCGCGGCTGTACCTCAATGAGTTTGCAGCTTTTGCGGCTCCTTCATTGTCAACCGGAACGACACCCAAAGCGACCTCTAAAAAGGCTCCCCCAGGCTTTACCACCGCAGATGCCAAACCGCTGGAGGCACGCGCAGCGTTTGAGCGACTTCGAAACAGTGGCGGGTCAGTTCCGACCGTCAGTAACTGCAGCGATTCCTTTGGTGGCAACTCCGTGTTTGCCAGCAAGTTGCCACTTTTCGGTCCGGCCTTGCCTTCGACAAACGATGACCGTGTCATGTTGGGCACGGTCGGCCGCATCGGCAGTGGAAGGTCGAAGGTACTTCGCAGTCAAGACTCCGGATGAGTCACCTCTGGTAGAAGTTGTTGCCACGGTTTGCACACGAAATTCCGGTGTTCTTCCAGACTGGACTAAAGTTTTTTTTTTTTTTTTTCAAAAATGACACTTCGAGTTGCCAAAGTCGATCTCTTTGCTTTTTTAGACCCGCATATTCAAGAAGTACGAAGGTATTTTGTCATGGTATAGATTTTTTTTTAACTGTACAATCTGCATTTTGCTAACATCGAGCTCGTCTGAGTTCAGTGTTCGACGTCACGCGGAACTTGTCGGCTCGTGAAGAGACACGATCTTTTCAGATCTCATGAGTCGATGATGCGACTTTCGTTGTGGTGACTGGCGTGGTCGGTATCGCACTCGTTCGTTTGCCAGCGAAAACACTTGGCCACGGCAGCGGCTGAATAAAGTCCACAACGTTCGGATCGTGCGCCACAGCAACGCATGGAGTGCAAGAAGAGAGTCGCGTTAGTCGCGCCTGCCCTCTGGCAGGATGACCACGCTTGTCGGCTTACTTGGCACTGGATAAGGCTCTTGGCGAGCTGCAGCGCGTCGTCATATGATCTTGCTCTAATTTACGGCGTGCAATGCTGGGCGAGAACTTTGCTCCGCCAGAGGCTTTCGACACCTGGCTGTCAATCGGATGAGCGACGCAACGGCGCACTGCAACGGTGATGCCTTCTTTGGAAGCAGGTGAAGGGGAGCACTTGGGCACTTGCCGTTGACACTTGGTTTCAGTATTGGACGTTTATGATGCCTGACAAAGTCTGCTAAACCTGATAATATCAATACCACAAGCCACTGCAAAATGACCCATAAATATTTAATTTCAAAGTGTTTCACTTGGTAGTTTGAATTATATTTGTGAAAACCTACAAATGAAACTGGATACCATGTATCACAGAGCCTCTATAAGCTGCAAACCGTTGACTGCTGCACCGTACCTTCGACTGACTTCATCAACTGTAGCGACGGCAAATCAATAAAAACGGATGACAAGTTGCCGGCTGTTGTTCCCACCTCTCCCTCTTGCAAGAGTTTTTTGTATCGGACCAGCCCGTCCATTCGCGATGGTTGAATTGTCCGTCATTTGCATTTCCCACTCCCGTTTTTTTCGGTGCCAGAATTCTCGCAGGAAGCGAGTGAAAAAAGCATAAAGCTGATCGCAGCTTACATTACACTGGCGCACACCCAGATTTGCAGGCGTTAATCACGGCAGGATGATGCGGGCGGTGCTCTTCGCCGCCGCCCACCTGCTAGCAGTAGTCGCTGGCGGTGGCAGCAGCAACCAGGACGTCGAGGTGCATATCATGTCATTCAATATCCGCACATCGCTGGCCTCGACCGACGCGGGGTCGACATGCAGCAACTGGGACGGGATCCGCAAGGACAACGTCATCAACAACATCAAGACCGTAGCAGCCGATTTTGTCGGGACACAGGAGACTTCAGACGCCCAGAAAACCTACTTGGACGCACAATTAGCAGGAACCTACTCCGTCATCGGAGAGAGCACGGGCTCCCTCAACGGAAACGCCAACGAATGGGACGCCATGTACTACCGCTCCGACACTTGGTCACTGCTCACAAACGGCATGTTCTGGCTCGGCCCGGACCCGGCCACCATGTCGGCTGCGTGGGGCATGACTTACTACCGTACTTGCGTCTGGGGTCGCTTCCAGCACATTAAGACAAAGGCGTCAATCTGTGTGCTCAACACGCACTACGAGACTCCAGGTAACGACGAAGCTCAAGAGAACGGCTCAAATATCATCCTGGAGCAAATCAAGGCAGTCTGTGACGCTGGCGACAACCTGATCGTGCTAATGGGCGATTTCAACGCGCTAAAGAGCTATTCTGCCATGCAAATTCTGTTTGCAAACAACATGGAGGACCCCTCAGATGACCCCACGTTTTGCGGTGACATGCTGTCGTCCACCTGTTCTGTCAAGTATGACTTCACGCTGTTCCGCGCTCAGAGCGATGATGCCTGCCACCTCAAGTCGGAGATTTCGCGTATCGATTACGATGGCTGCTACTCGTCCGACCACGCTGGACTTATTGGCAGCTTCTGTCTCCAGGGCTCTTGTTGTTCGAATAGTTCGTCAGGATCAGGTTCAGACGGCTCTTATACGGAGCAAGGCAGCATTGCGGGTGAAAGTGATATCCTGGGATCAGTACAGGCCAGTGATCTATCCGGTGCCGGCAACAGTAAACCCACAACGAAGACCAACTCGGACTCCACGAGCTCTTCAGATGCTGCCCAGACAATCTCCACCTCTTCTGGAGGAGGTGGTGGCGCCTCGACCACAGTTGGTATCATCTTAGGATCGCTCGGTGTCTGCGGCCTGGTCGCTCTTGTGGTCGTTCGACGAAAGAAAACTCTCGAACAGAGGGCTCATTTCGAGAAATCTTACGATCCAGATGCCAGTGGCTATTTCCCAGGCTCTACAGCAGCGAGGGCAGTGTCCGATATGTCGGCATTATCTCCTCTTCCCGAGGTAGACGAAGAGCGGGTGTCGAACTCGCCCATCCCGGAGCTTGTAGCGGTACCTCGAGACACTCGCATCTCGACATCTTCGTCGATTTCAGTCTCTGACTCGGAGGTGGCACGACATGATGATCGAAGTTCCGAGCTCCCGCGTGCCAGCAGTGCCCACAGTCACAGCTCAAGTCGACGATCGTCCACTGCAGTTATGGGTCAGGATATGTCGGAATTCTCCGCAGCGTACAGCAACTCCGTCCTCGAGAGTGAAAGTGACTTCAATACGTCTGTCATTAGTTATGGCAACTCGTCCATCTCGAGTTACAGCTACGCAGAGTCGTACGGCAACTCGTCTATTGCTATGAGCAAGGTCAACTTCAGCGAGATTTTCTCGCGTGATTCGGATATGAGCGAGATCTCCAAGTCCCAGGCAGATTTCGCCAAGCTTTAAGTCGACAGTGCAGTGTTCTTCGTCCGTGCGTCCAGTTGTCAGTGCCGTTATGACTACAGAAGCCTCCGCACATCACACACGACCGCCACATCGACTTGGCGATACTCCCGCGAGACCAGCACACTTAGTTTGCTAGCTTCCACTGTTTATTGCGCGGGTTTACACCGTTTTGTCATTGCCATTCACGAAATTCTAGTGAACCATTTCCTCATCATTTTCATCTGGCAATTGCCACGGAAGAATTGTTGCCACGTGGCCAATTACGAAATGAAAAACTTTCTCTACAAAACGTTATACTGGATCATGGCGAATCAACGGTAGCCTAACTTTTAGACTGTTCTCTCCTTTAGCCGCATCCTCTTCTCCTCGAGTTGCTTATCCACCACGCTGAGCTCTCGTTCCAGTCGCGACTTTTGCTGCATGAGCCACTGCAGATGTGACTCCATTTCCTGCTTCTTCCCGACACGCGTGTCCTTGATAGCCTGCTGCACACGCTCGCGTTTGCTGTCAGATTTCTGGATACGGTTGAACGCGCGTTCCACCAGCTTGGACGCCTCCTCCAGCTCCGACTCGGCCTCCACAGCGGCGCGCGAGCTGAAGCAGTTCAAGCTCATGATTTTCGTCGGACTGAATGGAAAACCAAAATAATGAATTAGAGAGCTGAAAACCTTTATAAATCTATCTTTAGCACATTGTTGAAGTTTTTCGCGTCTTTTCGCATTCATTTCAGTCACGATGGCAACGGAATTGCCCCAGGACTACCAGTACGCGAGCGAATCGCTAGACCAGTTTGCAACATATGAGGATTACTTGGACTCCCAGTTGAGTGAGACCGACCTGTTCTATCTCGAGGACGAGGAGCTTGCTCGACAGCTTGTGGAGTTGGGTTATCGAGGAAGTGGCGAGACTCTCCGGAGAGACGATTTCGAGGCGAGGAAGAAGGCCGAACGAGAGCGCAATGCACACAAAACGAGTGCTCCCAAGCCGCTGGCGAGTGCTGGCAAAGATCTGTCGCAGTACCCGTTCCTGGCAGCTTTGGCCAGTCGAGAAGATCTTGTTCGCAATGGCAAACTGACGGTAATATCGATTATTCTTTCTTAGGTTTCAGTGTGTGCCAGTCTGCTTTTTACCGTTTTCGAGTTCTCTGGTAAATATTTTCAGTGTATAATTTTCATTCGAGACAAGAATGCCAAGGGCCAGGAGATCAGTGGATACATCGACTATGCGCTGCGTCTGAAGAACGAGCCGTTCGAGCCATACTTTGAACGTAAGAAGAAGCTACTGCCAAAATCCTCGGATCTGAGTTACTACAATTGGGAGACGCAAACATCCACTTCCAACTCGACACCAAACTTTCAAGTGATCGCCGATAGCGAGACCGGCCTGCTATTCAAGAACAAGCGCGACAGGAAGGTCGTTAATGTTGATCCAAAAGTAAGCAAGGTTACATGTTTTTCTTTGGAAAAAAAATTGAATTCTAACAGTAAAACTTCTGCAGGCGAATCCAGGTGACAACTCGACACGAACGGAAATCAAGACAAAAGAGTATCTACAAGTGGTACTGTATGACCACATGACTCGCCGCAAGACCTAAGCGAAATCTTCGTTTACATACTACTGCTGTAGTAGTACTAGTACTACGAATTACTACATAGTAGCACTTATTGACGTTGAAATGGTTGGATATTTTAATATCGTAGTCTCTATTGCACAGTTCGATACTTGGTCAAAACCTCACGAGGAGTCAACGATATTAAAATGGAGAAGGCTGCATCAGCTTCTTCAGTCTCTCAACAGTTATCCATTGAGATACACTTGTGACTACGTTTACTACTTGGCAATTACGCGATGGTCCCAATAGTGCGCTCCAGCAGGAGTCGATACCCGTTCTGCAAGAGGAACTGTTGAAATGGTCCGGCTTCGATGGCTTTGAAAAGTTTCCGCTGAACAGGAACGATAACATCAGTGCGCGGGTATTCGTCGAACCCGTCGCTGTTCATGCTCACGCTAAGGCGACGATTGCTCTGTTCTGTCTGGAAAGATTGCCGAAGCTGGTTTAAGTCGTCAGCGTGTACGATGTTCAGCAGCTGGATTGCACGGATGATATCCTTTAAGTGATCCCATTCGTCTTGCGGTGTACGTCGATTTGCCATCCCTGCACTGGTTACAAGCCCATTCTCGCGAGCAAGACAGCTTCGGCGGAACAGTTCACACTCGATCCATGTGTCCAGTAAACTCTGGAACTGAGTAGTAAACACAAAGTCACGGAACAGCTTCAGCGTGTCTTCTCGAGAGAGCACACGCTCAAGCAAAGACGGTTCTGCTGCTGAAGGTACATAAGACTCCTGTTCGCTTCGGTTTACAGCCTGTACCCGCCACATCAATCGATATCTCCACGTTAGCTAAACTGATCACGATTCCAACTCAAGCTGATAAGCACTTACGTCTTCTGTGATCCAGATTTCGGCTTCATATAAGCGATGATTTTCCGAGCATAGGCCAATCTGGACATGTAGCGCGTGAATCCACGCCACCATTTCGTCCTTGCTGCTAGCACACAGCTCGTAATCCCGCCGAGGAGTCTTGAGTTGAAAAGAAAACGGTACGCGCTGTGTATCGGAGTATGTCATAATGTGATTAGAATGAACACCATTCCCACCATACTAAATGCAGTCAGCACGTACCACTTCTGGCTTCGCCTTAGCGAGGACAGCACCGAGCAGACTAATTGATGTGACGTCCTGCTGATTCACGTTCGACTTGCAGTACAGCAGTTGGTCTCCTTTGATGATAAACCACCGCTTTCTCCACAATGTCGGATCCCTGGAGCTCGCCTTCTGAAGGTAGCCTGAATATACACCCTGCAAAAATAATTATTCAGTGCCAATAATTTCAGAAATGACGGTAATCGTGAAGTGTACCTTTCCTAATAACACTGGGAAGTTAATAGACTGCGTCTCCGACGGCTGACGTCGAGGTGGCGCAGTATTTTCACTAATATCCAAGTGAGATCCTTGCACGTCCTAGTTGACACAATTATTAAATAATTTATCAGTAAAAAAAAATACAATAAAATCTCAACTGTCTCCTTACCTTGAGCACAAACTTGACCGGTGGTCTTGAGCGATGTTTGGGTTTGGCTCGTGTGGTGCCTCCGATCGTGTCATCCGCCTCCACTGTCTGCACTGGTCGAGCTCGGTTCAGCCTCTCCACAAGCGGTAGAATGAGCTCTTCATCTCTCAATGTCCTCGCCGACAGTGAGCCGGCATTATCAGTCGGAAATACCACGACGATGGCGTAATTATTAAAGTCCTGTACCGGGATCTTGATCTTGGCCGCCATAGATTGCCTCACCTCGAGTACAGTGGTGGTGCTCAGCAGTTTAAACACCGTAGAGGACGTGAAACTTTTGTTTTCGAAGTAAATCCGAGCGAAACCTGTGCGTTCCTCGCCCGGAGTCCCCTTGGCGGCTCGCATCATGGCTGCGGCACTGGTAGAGTTACCTAAGCTACGCTTACGCTCCATAGCGGCCTGCATCATACTAGCTGAGCTGTTGAAGCGTCTCATGGGCACAGAAGCAGATAGACTGTCATTGCTACGGGATCGTGACGCCAACGCCAAGACATTGGACGCCGACTGTACAGTCTGTACTCGTGGGGACGTGATAACACGCTCTTCCTCGTCGATGGAGAGCGGAGCTGGAGGCGGAGGCGCTTTCATCTCTTCTTCCAGACTGCGGTACCGTGTACCGTCGCCTGAGTCGAAGTAGCTGCTGCTGGAGATGGTAGCAGTAGTCATGCGGGTCAGACGCTTGTCGAATGGGTCGACGTCTCGAGGACTTGTGTCGGGCTCGGAGAAATGAGCCTTAGGCTTCTCCTCCAGCTCCCGCAAAGACTCGGGAGACTCCATCGCTTACGACCGGTGGACGCGGGGGAAGCGAAGTGGTAGACACGTTCGCGCCGTCGTCTCCTCGGCGTTTCCTTCTTGGTCGTCGTCACGCAACTAGAGAGTGCTAGGGGCAAGTTGATACGTGATTGGAAGAAATTGAAAAAATAGAAGATGCGGATTGGATGAAACAAAACTTGTCAATTACCACATTGCTAAAATGGGTACTTGCTGTTCATTGCGTTCTTCTTGCAGCTCTGTTGGCATTAACTTGGCAGCAACCTGCTACATATCACTGCATTGCTGGATCTAAACGTTGCGAATTTGCATTGTTGTTTTTATACTGAGCTGACATGCGTGGTAAAAATGCACGAGCGATACCAGTCGGAAACAGTGCAAGTTGCGGTAGACATGCACGCCTAATGAACTGCACTTGTTGTTTGCTGGTCCCAACCATTCTCTCGGCTCTTTGGCGTTGGTACCTGTGGTCGCTGGCAAGCTTGTAAAGATCCTAAGATCTCTGCACCGGATTTATGTTGTAAAACACTTGTGTGTCGAAATCCGGAACAAGAAGCTGTGGATCCCCAGCGTGGCGTCTGGTAAAGAATTCTTCTATAGATCGCCCAACGCATTCGTTGGCAATAGTTTCATGGCATGGTGGAGAACTGCTTCCTATAAGGCAGCTCTCAATTTGATACTTCGGCTAAGGCATTGCAACAAATAGTCAAAGATACGAATACTTGTCATTATACTGTTGAATCAGATGCAGCCGACATCTTGGCCCTCTTCTCCACCACTCCACACCACTAGCCGATTGCCGATTTATTTATCAATGAACACGTCCTCCACATTCCTTACAGCAGGAAAATATCGTCCTCAGGGTGTTTGTAGATAGTCGTTCGTTTGCCAGGCACATCCAGCACCTCGTTGATCTGTTCCGTGCACCGCTTGTGCGCCTCGCTCGACGTCCACGCTTGGTAGTCCTTTATCGAGCGCCACTGTAGTCGTAGCAACAACCGTTTACATCAACATTCCCTCCCACACACAAAACACTCTATCCGTCGCCCTCACCTCCGAAAGCATCACGTATTTATGGTGGTCGTTCACGTCGCGCAGCGTCTCCAGCGAGAGCAGACCAGGTTGCGACCGCACGACCTTCTGCACCTGTAGCACGCAACACACCACCGTCAGTACGTCACAACAGAATAAAACTTTCGATCGCGGATCTTACGTTCTCCATGAGACGGACGACAGTGGGCTCGAAGCCGCGGCTCATGATGCGCTCGCTCAACACTCGCACGGGCTTGGTTAGCATGGCGGACGTCTCAGTATCTCTTGCTCTTCGTCGTTCCGGCGCTGCTGCCAAAGTCTCCTGTTGGGTTGTGGTGCCTCCACTTCACTGCAACTCGACTTGCGTTTTTCCGCCCCACGTGAAGTTTCGAAAAGACCTTGTGACAAGCACTCACCAGCTTGTTCGCATAGTGAAACCAAGATGCGGTGGAAATGGGATCTGTTTGCGCATTTTCAAAGCCACAATTGTAGTCATGTGCTAACTGAAAAGCTGAAGCACGAACAAGTTGAAGCGAACAGGTGGGGAACAGGCCCAGCC